CATTGCAGGTGAATATTAGAGGGGATTATTAATTGCAGTGAATATTGGAGGGGATTATTAAACGGAAATTGATTGGGGGGGAATATTGAATATATTCCCCGCTAAGAACAAAGGAAACCGAGCAGGGTGAAAAATAAGTATTAAACATCGAGTATTTCTGTTTTCAAAAAACATCGGGTTTTTTTCGATTTACCAAAAAACCGCCTCACCCTATATTACATTCAATAATGTTCCCAGGGATTCTTGCAAGTTTATTGGCAACAACATCCAGAATTTCTTGAAAAACTGACGTAAGAGTGAACACTTTAGGCATAAAGTAAATGTTTTAGCCACATCATGATACCGTAACTATATAATTATCCAGTTCATGCAGCAAGAATGCAATATACATATTTATCACAATCTGACGATTTTGCAAACATTCAGCACATTGTTTTTACGTTTTGATAATTTTTTAAGGCATTTAAACAGCTGCAGGAAGCAGCAAGTGATTTTGAAAGAGCAAATGAAAAATACAATTCAGCCAAAGGAAAAGTGGCTGAATCTGAGAAAAAAATGATGAATGATGGTCGTGTTTTTGATGGTGCTTTACAGGAATTACTGAACCATGCCACTGTGGAGGTGAGTATGATACTCTTAGCCTGCAAACAGTAGACAGCAATTTCTATTTCCAGAATGTGTTAATCGACATAAGTCTACATGACAGGAAGTCTTGTTTTTCTATATTTCTTCAATTACAGTAGCCTACTGTACTATGGAATAGAACAGTGCAGATGCACGTCTGTTAGTATTCCGCAGCCCATGTTACTCTAAAATGAGCTACTACCCTTCTGGTAAAGGACTCACAACAATGAAGTGTTGTCAGCAATTCATGTACTGGCAAAATAAATAGAATAAATAACTTATTTTTTGAAACAAAATGTTCTCAGGGGCATCTACAGAGGCTGCTCCCCCCATGGCTCAAACAGTGCAGGGCCAACACAGGGGCAGCAGGTTACACTCACTTTGAAAGCTGTGCGTTTTTCATATGAATATAAATTGAGAAGTGCTTTAAAGAAACTTAGTTCAAATTTGAATCTGAAATTCCTCACAGAAATGTTACGAAAGTTTCCAACCACAGTATATGAAGAAAAAAAACTTCAAAAAGAAAGCCTTCCTAAATAATTGACAAGCTGTCATGTTGTTTTCTATACAATGCATTTTAGTCTTTAGCGTCATGTAACGAATAAAATTGTTCCGATCAATGCCGAAATTTGTCCAACTATACTGGCTAAGTAATCGAGAGTATCGAGTATCCGCACAGCAAAATTTTAACGAACGTTGGCTGCCCGCAAAAATTAGAGCTTAGAAGTATGTTCTAGTCAGTTATAAAAACTTTTATCTCAATATTCTAAGTTTAGGAAACATACAATATGTGCAGCATACATGATTCTATGGACTATGCTTATGGAAACATGCTAAATAATAGGTGTTTATTATGCGACTTACTGTCTATCTTTTTATTCACCAGGTTATGGAAGCTGCTAAATTAAAGCGTGAAAGTAGTGATTCACATCAACGAGTGTCATTACATTTCCAAGCTACTCAAAAGAAAGTTAAAGAACTAAACAGAAATTTGAAGGGGGCGATATTAAAGTCAAGGTTAGGAATCACCATAATCTGTGGAGTTGACTAGTAACTTACTACTTGTCTATTACGATAAAAAGTAAATATATTTTCTGAAAAATGTTTTCCACAGTAATTATTTTCTCATGGTTGACTAAATTTATGTCATAAATTTTGTGTATAACTGTGCTTTTGCTTATACTGTTAGTCATGATTTCACAAATAATGTTACTATTTTAATTTATATTAACTATTAACTATTTTATTGTTTAGGGGTTATTTCGAACTTACTGCAGCCTTAAATAGACAGTTAGATGTAAGTTTTGATGTTATGTTGTATTGTTGTGAGTATGTTGAGCCTTACCGAGTGTGACATGTGTATGGGTATTGAACAATAGCATGGTTTCAGAAGAAGTACCCTCCCAAACACGCTCTGGCAGAGATAGTCAAGCAGATAGAGGCTCAAAATTATGGAAAACGTACTATATCGTGGGACAATTCCATTTTGCCTTCATATTGTGCCCTGAAAGCTAGTAAGTACGTTTCTGTATGTTGGCCGCGTTAAAATTTCTTGTGGGCTCCTGCCGACACGTTTTTCCATACATGTCCAATACCTATGCAAGATGTCCAATGGAATAATCAAAAGGCCATTGGACATTCCATTTGTCAAATGGATCAAATGGACCTCCACTTTTCCATTGGACATTTGCTTGTCCATTGGATCCAATGGACAAATGGAATGTCCATTGGCCAGCAATGGATCAACTATCGGAACTATGCATCACCCGAATAACAGACCATGTGAAGGTTGCCGATCGGAACAATGCATCAACCGGATAAGAGCTTCCGCGTTTTTACCATTACGTAATTAACAGGTTGCAAGACTCCATGTGGACATAGTATGAAACCAGAGAGATGTTCCAATGGTCCAATGGTCCAATGGATCCAATGGATCCAATGGACCAATTATTGTCCAATGGAATTTTACCTGTCCATTGGATCCAATGGACAAATTAGCCTTTCCATTGGAAAATTACCTGTCAATTGGTCCAATGGGAAAATAATATGGAAGTCAATAGACATTTCTTATATGAATAATATAACAATATGTTATTGCTTCGTTCTTAAAAACTCACGCAATATATCAACATAATTTTGCTTCGTTCTCAAGAAACCACGCGTACATAACACGGGAACGGGAAGATCCTTACATGAATAAATAAATATAATATGTTGTTGCTTCGTTCTTAAGTGTACATAACACGGGAACGGGAAGATTTCTTATATCAATAATATAACAATATGTTATTGCTTCGTTCTTAAAAACTCACGCAATATATCAACATAATTTTGCTTCGTTCTCAAGAAACCACGCGTACATAACACGGGAACGGGAAGATCCTTACATGAATAAATAAATATAATATGTTGTTGCTTCCTTCTTAAGAACTCACGCAATATATCAACATAATTTTGCTTCTTTGTCAACTAGAGACCACGTGTACATAACACGGGAACGGGAAGATGGCCTTATATGAATAAATAAATATAATATGTTGTTGCTTCGTTCTTAAGAACTCACGCAATATATCAACATAATTTTGCTTCTTTGTCAACTAGAGACCACGCGTACATAACACGGGAACTGGAAGATCCTTACATGAATAAATAAATATAATATTTTGTTGCTTCGTTCTTAAGAACTCACGCAATATATCAACATAATTTTGCTTCTTTGTCAACTAGAGACCACGTTTACATAACACGGGAACGGGAAGATCCTTATATGAATAAATAAATATAATATGTTGTT